TCAGTTTGCTCTGGAGTGGAGCCCTCCTTCCAGAGCTAAGGCAAAAATGTGTGAGCCAGAGGGTAAAAAACTGTGAGCTAGCTCACACTCACTCAGCTTAGAGGGAACACTGGTTTTAATATGTGTATTTAAAAAGAACAAATGAAAGTCGTGGCTTTGATCAGCACCGGGTCCTCTCTGGTCCACACTTGGCAGGCTCTGGGTACACATCCAAGTTCAGTTAATCCACGGGCTGGCACGCATTCTGCCAATCACTGAAAGAACTGCCACCTGTGGAAAAGCCACCTGATGAGTGTACCCTCTAAGCCAGGGACCCCCCCAACCTTTTTGAGCCTGTGGGCACATTTGGAATTCGGACATGGCACAGTGGGCGCAGCAACAAAATGGCTGCCACAGCTTAACTTCAGTCACACAGTACAGACCCTTGTGCTGTGGTGGCAGCTGCTGCCAAAGCAACATTTTATGAAGAACTACACAGCCAATCAGAAGCCTTGCTGGGCCAAAGCCCCACCCGGCCCCTCCCACTTCCTCAAAACACTTGGCGGGCACCCAGGGGCTCCAGAACCTGAAAAGGTTAGTCAAGTAGAAAAGAGGGCCAACAATAAAAGCTAAATATATCTATAGTATATAAAAAGATACATGTATTTATTAACAAAGATTTTGAAAAACATATAAGGGCCCAATCACACCTCATGTAAAAATACCAGAATCTAACACACAAGGGGTAATGGACTTGACCTGACGCGTTTCAGCCTGCATAGGCCTTCTTCAGAGGTCAAAGACAGTGAGGAACAACATATTGGCTTATATAATAGTACAGTACAATCATACAGATATACAATATAAATACAAGAAGGCCCAGATGAAAATTGTTCCAAAATGAAAACACTAGGCACAGAATAAAAGTACAAATGAGGCCTCCAAAGATGCCATCACATGCCCAGTAGTGTTTCACTGAAAATCATTTCTGGTCCAGAAAGTGCCTTCCATGTAATTCTGGGAGCTATCCTGGGAGGATACGGCACTTGGTGGCCCTAGCTACCCCTGGAAGGGATTTACCTACAGAAGCGTAGATTCTTACGACTTTTGTGAAAGTTGTGCGGGCATTTTATGCAGTCTTGAAATGCTCCTAGCCGGGGGCGTATTTGTCACATGTCACTGGGCGGAGGTAGGGTTCCCAACCTCCAGGTGGGGGCTGGAGGCCCCCTGTGGAGGTCCCCTGGGATTACCGCATATCTCCAGGTGACAGATGTCGGCTCCCGTGGAGAAAATGGCCGCCTTGGAAGCTGGATTCTGTGGCATCCAATGCTCCCTCTAAGCTGTGGAGTCTTGTGAGCAAAAACTCTACTTTGTGAGCCACTGGCATTAAAGTTGTGAGCGAGCGATTGGGCTACTGCGTGAATTAGTTTGTTCTGGAGCCCTCCTTCCCGAGCTAAGGCAGAAATGGGTGAGCCGGAGGCTATAAAACTGTGAACTAGCTCACACAAACTCAGCTTAGAGGGAACTCTGATGGCATTCTAACCCATGGAAGTCCCTCCCCTCCCCAAACCCCGCCCTCCTCAGGCTCCACCCCAAAAATCTCCAGGTATTTCCCAACCCAGAGCTGGCAACCGTAGGCAGAGGAGTAGGGTTGCCAAGTGGCACTTACCCTTCCGGCGGGGGACTCCAGCTTGGCTCCCGGTGCGCGTGCACGCGGCACAGGGAAGTGACGTCATGACGCCGGGCACACTGGGGGCGGGGCCATGACCATACAAGGGAAAACCATAGAGTTTTCCCTTGTATGGCCGTGGCCTCGCCCCCAGCGTGCCTGGCGTCATAACGTCACTTCCCTGTGACGTGTACGCTGGGGCGGGGTTCCCCCCGGGGCCCGATTCCCCGGCATCGGGGAACGGGCCTCTGGGGCGGGGGGATTTCCGCCCCCCGGGGGGATTTGGCAGCCCTACAGAGGAGAGAAGCTAGTAAAAGTTTAGGAGATAGCCAGTGATGCAGCCGCTTTGCCCCCTGTTCACATGCACATCCTGGGTTTTTGGTGTGGTGGTTTTGTGTGTTTGGTTCTTTTAAATTCTGAAGTAGCTGCAAATCATTCTGCTAGGCAGTAGCCCAGGGAGCAATGCCCTCAGCTGGAGCGCAGCCGCCTCCCGCACAAAGCGTTCATGAGCCCAGCTGCGCATTACGATTCCGTGCTGATGCTGTCGTTATCCACGGGTTGCAGATTAATAAAAAAGAATTTTTTTAAAATCAAGTTGATTTAAATTTAAATCCACTTATGTGTTGCCAAAACTGGGTGTGCATGTTAACCGAAATCTCCACGCAAGGAGTCTGTGTTGAGAGGAGGAGAAGGAAGAGCGAGAAGGACCCAGGGTCACCGCGCGGGCTCCCCTGGCGGAGTGTGAATCCAAACCCTATTCTGACACTCCAACCACCACGGCACCCTTCCGGCTCTCTCCCCCTCCAGTCAATGTGAAAACGGGGGAAGACGTCTTTAAAGCAACCAGTTATTTCTGTGGTGGCATTAGGGACATTTATGTTTTAACCAGTGCTCCCTCTAAGCTGTGGAGTCCTGTGAGCGAGAATTCTATTTTGTGAGCTACTGGCATTAAAGTTGTGAGCAAGCAATTTGACTACTGCATAAATTAGTCTGCTCTGGAGCCATCCTGCCTGAGCTAGGACAAAAATGTGTGAGCCAGAGGCTAAAAAACTGTGAGCTAGCTCACACTAACTCAGCTTAGAGGGAACACTGCTGCCAGGTATCTGCTAATTTCATAATGATTGGAAACATGGAA